GTTCTTAGGACATACAGGGCACAGGTATGTAGCCTCCACCCCGGTTAAACGGGATTCAACGGGGGCTGTGGGGGCTATTCAACGGGTAGAACGGCGTTTAATTCCGTCTGTTGCCSGTTCTTAGGACATACAGGGCACAGGTATGTAGCCTCCACCTCCTCAATGCAATCAGACTCGCTAACTTTCACACTTTGTATGCATGTAAACAGATTGCGCAGCAAACTGGCGACAAGCGCCCACTCAAAACTCAGAGATATAGTAACCAAGAATGCAGTTCAGATACAAGTTCACTTCAAATGGATATGGCGGGACGGCGCCTGTACAACTCTCTGTTCACACACACACAGGATCACCCTGGATATCCCACACGCATCACACGGTACACACATGCACACACATACACGCTACACTCTCCTATCAGCTATGGCGGCTATGGCCGCCACTACCCTATTGCTATGGCTAAGCTCCTTCTCAGAACTCAGAGATATAGTAACCAAGAACGCAGTTCAGATACAAGTTCACTTCAAATGGATATGGCGGCACCGCGCCTGTACAACTCTTTGTTCACACACACACAGGATCACCCTGGATATCCCACACGCATCACACGGGACACACATGCACACACATACACGCTACACTCTCCTATCAGCTATGGCGGCTATGGCTAAGCTCCTTCTCTCGCCCACTTCGTCTTCCGGCTCACTGCAGACCACCTCGCACAAGTCGTTGTGGCAGCGCTTCCTCATGGCTTACGCAGGAATGAATGAATGACTGGGCGCTGCCTCTTGATTTATACTTCTGTATCTCGTTGGTCTGCCCCTTTCCCATGCCCGTGGTGCACACAGTCCCATACGGTACTTGCTTGACTGGACTAGGACTGACTGGTACTGGGACTGCTGACTCAGCACGGGTAGACTCCACCACTTGCCCACTTGCCTCAGCCTAAACGTGGGCAACTTCGAAAGGCCACTACTAGGACCTTCCGGAAGGCCGTGGACTTGGCCTTTCGATCCTGTAGCAGCTACAACCTTGACCCTTCAGGACTGTAGCAGCTACAACCTTGACCTTTCGGAGGAGCTACAGCTACGACTTATAGACCTTGCTAAGACTCCTACCCGACAGGTCTACAGATCGAACCCCTACTACCTACGGACCCTACGACAGTCTACCAACTGTTACAAATACACAGGTCACGGGTTCAACTCTCGGGGTCGACACAGATACTGTACACAGTAAGGTTAAGTCTAGGGATCGAGCCCTGGGACCTGCACTTGCTACTGCGAACAGGTGAATACCGTTTCATCACCTTGTAGACCTCACCCTCAACACTTACCTAATCTAGATTGGAATCTGACCTATCTGAGTTCTTCCCCTCTCACGATGTCACTACAGCTACCCTGTCAGGATGGTGGGCAACCAGCAGCTTAAGGTCAGACAGCAAGGACCTCAGGAATTCTTTAACGACTGAGAGACTAGTTGTTTTACGAGCGCTCGCCGCTCATGCCCATGGTTCCTACTTGTAGCCCAGACACGACCTACTTCATGCGCCAGATGCTGGCTCCAGACAAAATCAAATATGTCACCAAGTGTTCTTGTCCAGCAGCAGCGACACCGAGATGTGGGAAGGTACCATGATACTCGTTCATTCATTAAAACAAATGCAGGGCTTAGGGGGGCGATGCACTTCACTTGTGAACGTTCCCTCGATGAAACTCCTCGGCGCTCCCCGGATGCAGGTACGTAATCACCATCCCCCAACCTGGCCATTTCTTCTTTGGCCTCCAGCCCGAAGTCAAACGCCAAATCTTGGCACCGCTCAGAGCATTTTGCATGCCCTCTCTCTCTGCTTCTTCTTAGCGGGTGGGCTTGAACTGCTCGGGATGTCCCACATCCTCCTGGAATGAATGCTGCCTGTGTCGCGAGCTGTCTCGGCGATGTTTCTTTCCAGCTGGCAGCCCTTGCAAAGGCAGAAGAGATGTGGTTTCTCAACCCTTTGTTGGGCACTGTCAGTACATCCGCTTGGCTCAGACCTCTGTTTTCTGTAAACAAATGACGGATATCTTTCTGTATTCATTGTATGATCAGGAGATGGTGGACCCCATTTCCTGCAGGTGCAGTTGCACACCGTCTTGTTGTATTTTTCTAACATTTTTCCGTTGGACAGTGGCCTGTACCATACATCCATTATTGCTGAACAGCTTTGTTTTCACTGAAAGAGATGGGAGTGAAAAATGGCCGACGTGGGGACATTAAAAAATCACCCCACCCCCAACCATGCGACCACCGATCTCTGGTAGGCAGAGCATTTCTGCGGCTCCTGGTTAACATGTCGCTGAATGCAGATTGGCTGGCCGGGGTAGTGGTGGTTTTAGATTGGTTCAAATGGACAGATCTTAACTCTCTCTCTCTCTCTCTCTCTCTCTCTCTCTCTCTCTCTCTCTCTCTCTCTCTCTCTCTCTCTCTCTCTCTC